CGGGCCACGGTGTGGCCAACCTGGACACAACCCCACAGGTCTCGTGATGGTTGAGCCCTCCCCGTGGGTGACCACCTGGATTACCCCAACCTACAGCCATCCTTTAAAGGGATGTCTCCAGAGGGCGGTGCTGCTAATTAGGGAGGTATAAATTAAAACATAAGCCCTGTGTTGGCATCCAAAGGGAGGGGTGACTTTCAGTTGAAATGGCAGCCCCTATCTCCTCTAACACTATCATCTCTGGAAAACAATAGGGAAAAAAAGTCAAACCAGAAAACAACCCCCCAGAAAAGTGATATAAATTATGTTTATTGAAAAGACCAACATTTTCCAGCAAGCCCAACCTCTACTCAGCTTCAAAGTAAGAGAGAAAGGAAGCTGGAAATAGGTGAGAGGAAGGATGGTGGGCACCTGCCATGTCAGAAGTACCTCCAGAACCTGGAGGAACAGGTGAAAGACTCCATTTCTTGTTCAGCAGTGTGCAGAGGCATCTGTGCTGGGGACACAGCTGAGGCCACGGATGGGGCTTCTCTGGTCTGGGATGGGGAGGGGAGAGGCACAAACACTATTTTGACTCCTGGGACTATTCAGCTGAATAAATCCTTGAGGGTGATCCCACCAGAGGCCGTGCTCCCTCCCCAGGAAACTGTCTTCTGAGTCCATGCACTGAAGACAGGCTTTGATGTCAAGCTTCCACGGAATGAGGAAAAACTGAGTCAAATTTCTTCTCCACAGAAATGCCCAGCACTTCTAGCAGCAGAAAGACTCCCCAGGGCTGAGCAGGTCACCATGGTCTGCTACCACCAGGAGCCTTGCAGTGCTCAGGGTGATGTTTCACTCCTCCATCTGCTCCCTCTGTGCCACCTCAACAAGCTTCTGCCCAGGGTGACCAAGCCACATCAATACCCAAAGCCAGCCCCACCACTGCCCCCTCCTCAGCTGGGATGTGCCCTGCTGCTCCCAAAGCTGAAATCATCCAAGTCTCCAGGTGCCCAGGCAGAGCTTCCCTTGGCACGGGGACAGCAGACAGCGATGGGGACAAAGAAGATGACCACAATGAAGATGACCTCAGGTGTCAGCACCCCTGCCATCGTGCAGGGAGATGTAACAGGCTCCACCCACACGTTCCTCCACCACTGCCAAAACCTGGAGATGTCCAACCAGCTGCACGGGGTGGCTGATGTGCTAGTAGCACCAGTCCTGCCTCCGCCATGTCACCTCGCCCCTCTGCCCGACCTCCACTGCATGACTGGACACACTGTCCCCTGCAGCTGCCTCCACCACAGCAACTCCACCACGGGCTCAGGTGCTGCCTCCTCCCCTCTGGCTGTTTGAGCCCGCCGCCCAGGCTGGCAGGAGGCAGGACAATGTCTCAACCTTGAGAAGGGGGCAAGGAGGCTGTGGCATGGATGAGAAGAGGGGCTGGTGGCTTTTCTGTGCCGTCTAAATGGCATAAAGGGGACACTGCGTGCAGAAACCTCTTTGATCCAGAAAATGATTCCAGATGATGCAACTTCCAGCTCCTGCCAAAGGGCTGAGCATCCGCCCAGAGCTCCCCAGCAGGGGCAGGGACCCAGACACCTCTCCTGGGCACTCCCAGACAGTGTGGGACAGGTTAGACAGAGGCAAGAAAAAACAGCTGCTAATGCTGTCCCACGTAGGCTGGCCCAGCCCCAGAGCCTGAGCTGAGGGTCCAGCTCTTGCCTGGGGACTGTGGTCGCCCTGGGCTGGACTTCTGTTGGCTGATGATAAGTCGCTGCAGTGTCACAACCTTCTACCTGATCCTACCTGAGGAGAGACACAATCCCAGGGAGCTACAGCCTCCACGGGTGGGAACCAGCAAGTCTTGGGCTAAGCTAACCTCCCAGTCACTGTTTTTCCAGAAGGACATGGTCCCTGGAGCCGCACCCAGGTGGCCCTGAGCCTTGTCACAGGTACGTGATCTCAATGACATTGGGCTCAGTGCTCCCACAGGGAAGGTGGTGCTTGCAGGGACACTGGCAGCTCACATCCATGCCACCCAGCTTCTTCTGGGAGCCCAGCTCCTTCCAGTCCATGAGGTGCACCCCACTGTCCAGGTCCTGCGGCATGGGCTCGTGGTAGAGGGTGATCTGGACGGTGCGGAGGTGAGGGCCGTAGTGCACCACGAGGATGATGAAGACGGCCAAAAGGACAAAGATGAGGACGATCACGGAGATCATGGGCAAGGCATCGGATTTCCTTGTCACACTCCTCACCACGGAGGTGGGAGTGAAGGCGGCTGCCTCCTGGGGCTCGGGCTGTCTCAGCTGGCTGCTGGGTGCAGAGGTGTTCATGGCTGAGCAGGCTGGCCTGGGACAGGGAAACGTGGGGTGGAAAGGGGTGAGCACTGAGCAGCAGTCGTCTGATGTCCTTACCTCCTGCCCTCGGGTCGGCAGCTCACTGCCTGCACTTGCAGCTGCTGGGGGATAGGACTGTCCTGTAAATGCCACCTCCCTCGGGCTTGTGGGACAGGATAAATTGTGGTGGTTGTAGCTGGGGCTGTTGGGATGGTGCCCTGGACATGTTCAGCTAGGGAAGTGATGCCCTGCGTTCCCTTGTCCTGGGCACCTTTGGCATGGGGGGGGTCTTCCCTCCCCACTGCCCCTCGCTCCCCAGCATCAGGACTGATGGGAACAGGGAGCCTTCCACCCTCCCTTCCTCACCTCAGCCCCACAGTACTAATCCAAACCCCAAGCCCCATGGGGACCTCCCTGGGAGACCCAACCCCATCCAAACACACCCCGAGGCCACAAAACCCCACAGGAGCCAGCATGGGGGGCAGTGGGAAGGAGAGGGGGAAGGAGAACCCCCCCCAGCCCCACAGGGGTACCTTGGGGTCCCTCCTGCATGGGAACCATCATCTCCAGTGGCCAGGCTGGGAAGCTGAAGGTAGGACCAGTAGTAAAAAAAGAACCTTTCCAGAATGGTTCTCTGGTGTAGGTGCAGCCAGACTCACCTTGTGGCTGCCACGTCACGTCAGGTCACCTCACGCCTCCCACCCGGGATTCTCCGGGGCAGAGGAGGAAGGAGGGCAGGAGACGTGCTCCCTGACCTAGCCCAGTGCCACATCATCGCCGCCGCCGCCGCCGCCCCCTCCCTGGCGCGGGAGAGGAGGGGAAAATCCCTCCTCTCACCCGTTGCAAGACAAGTGCCCTTTTGTTCAGGCAGAGGCACCTACCACCCCTTCAGCTGCAGCCCTCGGGCACCTGGCTGCAGGAAACTTCCCTCCTCCCACCCCTTCGGCTTCCAACCGAGCACAGTCAAGAAACTGGTGTGAAAAAAATCACCGCCTCTGCCACCCACGGTGACCCCCAGCACAGCCCAGAGCAGAGCAGAGGGATCCTCTGGATTTTTAGCCATCACAAATCATCTCTCCCCATTTCTCCATCCCCAGGCAACACTGCTCTTACCTGGAGGCTCTCAGCAGGGAAGCTGGGGGGAATATCTGGACTCTGTCTTTCCTGCACATGGGAAGGAGAGGATGGGAAATGCCTCTTCCCCCATCCCTCTGAGCATCCAGAAGAGATTTGGTCGCACGTTAGAGAGCTTCTGGGAATTTGCACTCATCCCAGGATTCAGTAAAGCCTTAATCTAAAGCGTAATCTCTGAGCATCACATCTGTGCGAAAGAGAGAAGCTGGAGGGGGAGGCTGCTGACAGAGGGTCTGTGAAAGCACAGGCTGATGTGGGGCGCCAGCAGCTTTTGGCCTGATAGGCTGCTGGGGATTTTGGAGGTGTCTGAGGAGACCCACTGAAACACAATAAGCTGTGCAGAGCACAGGAGATGTCTCCCTCCATTCTTCCTACCGTCTCCTGGCCATGGGAAGCCAGGACCTTGCCAGCAGCAGAAGACAGACGCTTGCTGTGCTCCAGGCAGTGAAGGAGCAGCTCTGTGGCCCTTGGCCTTGCTCTGTGGCTTTCCAGGGGACTGTGGTAGGGAGCTGGACCAGCCCCTTGAGCCAGGAGACACAATCCTGTAGATTTGCATCTCCAACATCAACACGGACCCTCCAAGATAGGCAGGCGCGGGAGCCTTTCCCACACGGGGACAGTAAGACCCTTCTCCCCCCACAAACACCCCTTCACATCCAGCATGGGGCAATTTGTTTCCTCTGAAGTTCAAACTGTGCCGGGGATGGGCAGACAGACAGAATCTGCATAGACAAGTGCATCATAAGGTTGGGGCCAAGAAATCAATTGCCCTGAACCCCTTGGGCTGGAAAGGGGCAGAACCAGCCCAATTTTCCAGTTCCTCTGCTTGTCAAGGAACCAGGGTAAGGGTAATTTAAAGCCTGACACGTGCTGTATGTCCCAGGGGAAGGATGCTGCTGCTAGCTGGAAAATAGCATCCCAAAGCCAGCATCCCAAAAGCAGCACATCCTAGTGCCCAGACTCATTGGAGCTGCGTCGGGAAGCCCAGGGCACAGCGCAGCACCAGCTGCTGAACTACCATGGCCCCACGAGAAGCAAATATTTCCAAATCTCCTTGGAGACATTAAGAAATCCCCTCTCGAGTGGGAGGGGAGGACAGGCTCCTCCAGCAGCTCTTAGTGCGGGAAGGACTGAGGCACCAGCAGCCCTCACGGGTCTGATGGGGATCGGACCTGAGGGGCACAGCCGCACTTCATACAAAGCACCTCCCAAAAAAAAACCCAGGCACCATAAAGAAGCTGCAGGGGCCCAAAGCAGGCCAGGTCCACTGTGAGGCTTCTCTCCCAACGGCTGTGGGAGCCAAATCCCCCAACACACTGATGGCGAGGTTTCCTCTGCTGTCGTGGCGAATGATGTCTCACATCCTCTCCAACCATAATGGGCAAAAAAAAACACAGTTCCCCTGTGGATTCAGCCCGTTTCCTTCTATTCTTTAACAGGAAGCTCTGTGAGAGTCAGCCTGGGCAGGCAAATTGCTCCTCACCCTCTCGTCCCTCCCGGGATGGACAGAGCCTCAGCGGGGCTGTGGAGCCACAAGCCGCCGAGAAGATGCTGGCTCCATCCACCCATCCCCTCCTCTGGCTGTTCGGCTGCGTGCTGTTCCGAGGTGAGGTGCTCCACTCGCACGTCGAGGAGGGGGAAGCACTGCCGGGTGGGGGGACTTGGGGAGCCTGTTCCATTGGGGAGACCAAAGGGAACGGGTTTGAGTGTGTAGGAGCCGCCATCGAAGAGCTCGGCCTTTAAATCCAGGGGTGGTAGGAGTCAGGCTGCTGGGAAAAAAATGTGGCCGTACCAGGTTTAAAGGGTTTATTTGACAGTGTTGAAATAAATGAACTCGTTTCCTGGTTAACAGAAGGAGTGTCTCTGTGAAGGGCTGTGATGCTGAGGGGTTTTGCAGTGACTTGTGTCAAATAAGCACAAAGGTGGAATATTTAAATGTACAGGACATCATTTACCTCCAAGCCTTTTTTTTCCCTTGGCTGATTTTATGTTTTCTTCTCATTGATTTAAATACAAAAAGTCACGTGCAAGACTCGTGCAGGACGCACCTCATCCTTATTGTAAGAATTCTGCTCCTCTGTGGCAATTCTGCTTTGGCTTCTCTTTCCCATGTGAGTGGTGCTGTGGGATGAAGGAACCAGTTTCCTGCTCCGCAGGGTGACAGGTTGTTTTTTCCTGCATCATCAGGCACCTCTTGTGTTGCTGACAGCTGTAGTAGCTAGGAGCTGGAAAGCATTTGGAGGAGTATTTCCCTGTATTGCCAGTAATTTCTCCAGTATTTCCCTGGAGGAAGCCTCCAGGGTTCTGCTGCTTCTAATAGACAACCACCTAAAAATAATATCTTCCATCCAAAGTTTTTATCATTAAAGCATAGAAGTTGCATACAGTTGGATAACAGCCACTGAGCTGGTAGCAATGTGATTTTTAGAAGGCAGAAGAGATAGAAACCAGTCCAGTCAGTAGCTGTGTAATTCTGAGCAGCAGTCCACCACCATCCACCTGTTTCCACACAGGCCTTTTATTCTTTTTTGGTTTGGTTTCCACTTTGCACAAGATCATTCATTTATTAATGAATTTATTATTCATTTTAACTTCTGCACTCTCACAGGTATTTCTAAAGGGAGGTTCAAATACTGTTATTTTGAAATTGCCAAAGTGGGAAGTTTTGGACTATTTCCAACTTGGTTTTCCTCCCCCAGAAACACTTCACAGAAAATTTGTCCAAACAAACCTCTTCCTATGAACAGTTTCCATTGAAATGGGCAGGCATTTTCCAGACAAAAGATTTCCACTGAAAAATTCCTCCTCGAAGCTGGTGAGAACCCAGCAGGATTTTCCCACTGTTGGTCACTCCATCCACTGCTCTCTTTATTTGTGCCACAGCCAGTGGGTGGATAACACCACAAGAAGCACAGAATATTGAAAGTAGATAAATAGGCCAATATATGTATTTTTATATAATCAGAAACATGGGTGCAGCTAAACGACAGACACTGAGCTACCAGCATACCCTCCAGACACATTACTTGCACCCTTAAAGCAGGGCATCCAGAGCATCCTAGAGCTGATTCCTTGGCCAAAAGGGAGAGGCCAGTGCAAGCCTGACCTGCTGAAGAAGGAAGAGAAAGTGGGAGGTGGTCAGGAGAAATGTTTGTTCACAAAACAAACTGCTCCCTTCTAGTAACATGAAACCCCACAGATGACTCTACAAAGCCAACTGAGGTGGCCAGAGACAGTTTCCAGGAATTATGTCTCATTTACAATAGGTGAGTCAACAACAGGTGTCCTTGGAGGGGAGAGTGCTGGTAACCCAACACCAGGAACGCTCCTGCTGGGAAAGCCAAGGCGTGGGCTTAAGCCCAAGGCTGAAAAAAGGAGCTCTGTGCCTTGCGTAGCACCAGCAAAAGGCACCGTTGCCCAACCTGGCCTAGGAAGTCTCAGAGGGGCCCATTCAGCATGACCCAACCACCACAACAAGGAGGAATCGCCCAGTCAGTCTTTGTTGTGGAGAGTCTTTTTTTGTAGAGGGGGCTGTTTTTCCCTTTGAGCTGAATCACCCCAGAACAGGAGAAAGGAGCAAAGTCCCCTCTTGTATCTCTGGCTGTGGTGGTGTTTGAAGAAATAAAAGTTTTAAGGAGACTTTGTCCCTAATGAAGGTTTCTAGTGAGACTTGCTACAAACCTGAGGAAACACCAAGGATGGGGTCAAACGTCGTTGCTTTACTAGCAGTTGGGTTTCACAGCTTAGGGAGACTCTTCTTACCCCCTGCTCATGAGAAACCACTGGTTTGGGACCCAGTTCTCTGAGATCAAGGTTTCTCTGGTGTGGGACACAGGGGTGGGACAGGGACATCATAGTAGAGAAGCACAGCTGGTGGCTTGGTCTTGCCACCCCACATAAAGAGGAGGCAGAGAGAGCTCATGTGGAGCTGTTTGTGGCAGCACTGTGGGTCCATGGAGATGTGGAGAATGTTCATTCACACTCCAGAGCAAGCCAGGCAAACCTTTCTGGCACTGGGGACAGCTATCTGGGCAAGAGAGGGGATGCAAGGTGGGTCTCCTCTACCTTTCCCACCATCACCAGGTACAACTGCAGTCTCTGCAAGCTCCCAAGGGCAGAAGAGCTCTGGGTGAGCAGCTCCAGATGTACAATTCAATAAGATCCTCTCGTACGTTAGCCAGAAGTGACCCTGGAGTTGCTAAAAATCTTGGAATCCCACTGAAAGGAGCGTGCTTGGAGAGGAAGGAGAAGCATGTCACAGCTGATGGGGACACAGGACCACTGGATTTTGTGGCTGCTACTTACACAGCCACGTAACAGCCCCTGTGCCTTGTTTCCCCAGGTATGAAATAGGGGTGATACAATGACCTCCTCCATAAACTGCTTTGAAGTGTGGGAATAAAGCATAGGTGATCTCACCAGGGTCACCCACCTAGAATCTGGGCTGAGGTGAAGCTTTGCCCTCCTTCTAGCTGCTGCTTCAGGGGGACTCAGCACTCCAGGCAGCAGCTGCCCAGTGCTTCCCTGAGCACCAAGGTGCTGCAATAGCTGCAGCCAGGCAGGGGTGTCCTTCAGCCACTCCCCTGGGGTTCAAGCCTTAAGGAGACTTAAGAGAAGTAGCAAGAACAGGAATTATGAGAAGCCCCTGAGCCACCAGCCCCTTACACACCTGAATCACAAGGTGGGAGCAGATCATGGTGGTCCATGATCACCACACAGCCTGGCTGCTACCAGCAAGCCCTAAATAAACCTGAGGGGTCTTGGGTTTACTGGAAAGAAGAAGAAATTTGTGAATAAGCTTGGAAACGGCAAAGACCCTCCATGAAATTGAGGGAAGCTAAAGGTGTCTGGTAGGCACCTACCGCTGATCCACCACATCGGCTGTGCTGCTGCAGGGGATGGTGACATAGGTGCTGTCATCGCCCACACCGTGGGGACACCTTTCTGGGGGTGTAGTGTACATGAAAATACAGCAGCTCATCTCCTGGAGCACACAACATTTGAACAAAAAGAATCAGAACCATAGAAAGAAACATAGAACGGTTTGGGCTGGAAGGGACCTTAAGGATCTAGTTCCAACTCTCCAGCCACCAGCAGGGACACCTCCCACTAAAGTGGGTTGCTCAAAGCCCTGTCAAACCTGATTTTCAACACTTCCAGGGATGGGGCATCCACAGCTTCTCTGGGAAACCTGTTCCAGTGTCTCACCACCCTCACAGTGAAGAATTTCTCCCTTATAACTACTGCAAATCTCCCCTCTTTCAGTTTAAAACCATTATCCTTCATCCTACCACTACATTCCCTGATTAAAGTTGCTCCCCATCTCTCTTATCTGCCCCCTTGAGGCACTGAAAGGCCACTAGAAGGTCTCCCTGGAGCCTTCTCCAGGCTGACCAGCCCCAACTCTCTCAGCCTGACCTCACACACACTGCTAAGGAGGACCTACGGGGTGAGCTGTAGAACAGCAGGACCTTGGCTGGCAGCCTCAGCACTGCTGAGTTCGCCTGCGACTCATGACACTTCCTCTGTTCCTCAGTTTCCCCACCTACAGAAAACAAAGCTGAGATGATGCTACCCCTCCCCTCTGTAAGGTGCTTTGAGGTCTGCTGATGAATAATATCAACTTCTATTTTTAAACTGTAGATAGCCAAAAAAAATCACACACTGGGCTCCAGCTCCCAAGCCTGGATGGGTGGTGCCCTCATCTTTCGTTTGGCTGGACATGGACATGACTCCTCCTCCAAATCCCCAGAGCCAGGGTAGAAGCCTATGAGCAGTGTAGCCAGGAGAAGGGCAGAACCCAGAGGGACCAGGAGCAAACACAGAGCTCTAAAACAAGTTTCTGTGAGGAAACTGGAACCACTGAGCAGCTGGGAGGGTGATGGTGCAAGGAGCCTGATGGATCAGTTTACCCCCCAAAAAAAACACGGAGCAGGGGTGGTGCAGCCAGGAGAAAAGCCACGCTGCTCAGTTCTTCTAGGAGCAAGCAGTTGTGGTAGAACCAGACCCCAGCACATGCGGTGCTGAGGCTCCGTGCACGTGGTTGCCCCACGTTGTTTGTCTCCCAGCTTGTTTTCGACATTCAAGTGGTTTTTAATTGACTTCTGCCAAGATTTGCTTCCAGAACAGCTCAGCAGAGAGGAGCACAGAGCGTGATGCTCGGGGAGGATGCCCAGGCCTGGGTACGGCCCTTGATGAGGGGCAGAGGAAGACTAAGATTAATTTTAATTGCTGACGAGATCCGGGTTTAGTACCTGGCTCTCTCAACTTTCCATAACACTTGGGCTGAATCATTGCAATTCAGAAACACTTGGCAGTGAGCTGCCAACCCCCCCAGCCCTATCCCCCCCCCCTCCGATGTCATTTGGGAATTAGAGGCTTAAATACCTCTGTGGATCTGAGACCTGATTTAGGCTGCCAGTTATCCAGCCTGAATCACGACACAATTTCATAGAATTGTTTGGGTTGGAAGGGATCATCTTCCACCTTACCTGTTCTGCTGCAAGACCCTCAAGCCAGGAGCACCTTTTTTAAGCACTTAATAAAATAGGACCTAGGCTTTTGTAGAGCTCTCTGCTTTCCAAGTGTCCTAATACAGGATTTTATTTTTTTTTTCATGTAAAGATACTAAGAACTGGGTGTTGTTGCTCTCTGGTGCCTCAGCAGCTGCTGCGTTTCACCCAGGAAACAGCTGCCCTTGCATTAAGCAGCTGGTGTGTTTTTGTCATGGCTCGTTTGACACAAGTCCAAATATATGAATTGAAAAGTCTAATTTTAGGTCTCTTTTCTGAAAGCATGTGTCTGTGCAACCTGCAAGTAGAGGCTGCATGGTGTCACAGGGGCTCTGCAGCTCCCTGGCGTATGATGTGCTACTTGGGGACAGGCAGGACATCTCCACATCTCCCCCAGAACTGCCAGGGGAGGAGAAGGGTCCAGGGTTACATGTCATCAGAGATAAATGGTCCTTCTCCATCACCAGTTCTGAGCGAATGGGACCAGTCCTGGTCCCTGTGCCTTCACATCAGTGCCAGAGAACCTCCCCTGTGACTCCATCCCTCTACAAATACAGACTGGACAACGCAAGCCCTTCTCAAACCTCACCTAGACCCTCCTGAAGCATTTCCAGCACCTGGAGCAAGTCTCTGCTACAGCAGTGCTGCTACATGGAGGCTCTGATGGAAAGTTTGGGGGTTTTAAATGTCAGTGCCTCTCTTTTGTCAGCAGCTGGAGAAAACGCTCTTTAAATGATCACCAGAAATGATACCCAAGCAGAAATACCTAAAATTCACCTTTTTTTTGGGGGGGAAGGGTTAAATTGTTCTCTTTTTGTGCTGAGAGCTGCTGGCTCTGGGAACATCTCTGAGAAGGCTCCACGGAAAGACCCCTCTGCTCTCAGTCTAACCCTCACACCCAACCTCACAGAAGCAGTTCTGCAAATAACAGAAATGTGTGTTCTGCAAATAGAAATCCTGCAAATAGAAATTGGGCAAATAACAGAAATCCAAGGTTCCTCTGCTCATGCCTGGGAAAAATTAACTGAAAAGCAACTGGTACTGAGTCAGAGCAGAAAGACACCTGCAGCCCTATGGCTCTGGTGGACAGTTAGGAAATTCTCATTAGAGCAAGAGCAGAAAGCCTTATTTCCCACCATAAATCCCTCGGTGAGCTCCCCGTCTCCACCCAGCATGGCACAATCTGGCTCTAAATCCCTTGCCCCCCAGCACAACAAATCTCTTGGCTCTGTGGTGAGCGGCCGGGAGGGCCTGGATGTTTATTGTGCTTCCAGCTGCCCCGGCCACGTCCCGATTCTCCGTGTCAGCTGCTTATCCAGCCAGGGCTCTCCAGGGCTGGGCGTGGGGCCGAGCTGGCAGCAGCACCGGGAGGAAATGGTTTCCAGCACCGTTTGCACGAGGGTCCCCCCGGGGGTCTCCCCACGGGAGCTTTTCTGTCCCTGCCCATCCTGCTGCCTGGCCCCATGCTGTGACTTGGGTCTCCTCCTGCTTTCAGCACAGTCATCCCCTTCCGATGTAATTCAGTCAGGGTGCTAAGAACCTTCTCTGGAAGAAAACATCTCATAGAAGCAGACTTTTGATTATTTGAGTTGGCAGGGAAGGCATAACAAGCAACAGGGGCCCGAAGGCAGAGCCAGACATGCTCTGCTTTGGAATAACGTGTTGTTGTGGTTAGAGAAGCCAGAGACATTCATCCCTGAGCAAAGCACCAAAAAGGGCATCTCCATCCCTTGGACTCCTCACAGCAAGACCAGTCACTTCTCTGCAGCAAAGCTCAAACATGGTAGTCCAAGGCAAGCATCCACTTGGCCAGGTGAACTCCAGAGAATGAGTACTGGAAAAAAAGCTCTGCTTATTCATCTCATTTACAATAACCCCAAGGTTTAGTTTTGCAAGTGGAGAGCTCCTCTCTGGTGTGACCTTCAGCGGAGGGCTGAGCTGTGGTGGAAGAAAGTGTTGAGTACAATCCTTTCTTTTGTCCTGCTGCCAGAGATGCTGGATCCAGCCCATGGGATGGTCCCATCAGGGATGGTAGGACGGGGCAATGTCAACCCCCTTGCCCTCAGCTACCTCCCATCCCTAGAGGCTCAGTTCAAGCTCTCAGATTTCTCATCAGCTGCACTAATAATGCTGGAATAAATGGCCAGCTCAGCACCTTCCCCTCTGACAAAGACTAAGTGTAGTCAATAGCTCTTTCTTCAGCAATTCTTGATACTTTCACATACCATGTACACTAAAAAGCACCTGTGATAGTTTCAAGAAGAAAATGTGTTACAAGCAGGTACTCCTCCCCATGGGAAAACAAGACAATGGCTTCTGCAAGGGAATTTTGGAGAAAGAGAGCTGTTTGAGCTTGGCAGCTGCTAGAGAATATTGGCCCCCATGATGATCTCAGCACGTTATTTTCTGTGCTGAATGTATAGTGTATTTTAAAGCATTTGTAAGCCAACGTCCAGAAATTGTGTTGTGAAGCTGTTCAAGAAAAGGAAACCCAGCAACAAACGGAAAACTTGGCCAGCTCTTGGGGTCGATGGCCCAAGGCACTGTCAGTTAGTTCTCCATGGAGTCAGCCAGGTCCCTGGGGAGCAGGCAGTGCCCCATAGTGTCCCAGGGAACAGGGCTATGAAGGAATGCATCCCCTGTCCTCAAAAAAACCATCTTTACCTCTTTAAGAAGGGCAACTACGTGCCCAAAAGATCTTTTTTTCCATTATATTAATTGATTTAGTAAGTGATGCTGCAGTTGTCTATAATCCTGTCTATGTCACTAGACTGATGCTCATCTAACGTGCTCTTAAAACCTTCAGAGAAGGATACCTCATAATTATCCTACAAAATCCCTCCTAGAAACTCATTATCCTTATCTCAAGGCAGTTTGCTACTGCCCTACCTACTTTTTCCTTGCTGGAGTTAAAAGTCCTTGTTTTCTGGTCCTGTTCCCAAGGGATTTAGAAAACCAAGTAGAGCTTTCCTCTCTCTGTAATTAAAGATCTGATCCTGTCTCCTCTTTCATGGACTAAACAAGGCAGTTTTGACAGCCAGCTGCTCAGTAAGCTAGAAAAGAAAAGCAGGGAAAAGATCTGAGAAGCCAAGTCTGATTTTCACAGCGAAATTCTATCTGGAAAGACACCACATTTTATTATGTATTCACCGTGGTTTACACACTGTTTTGGTTCCTGTTTGGCTGAGATCATTGTCATAAAGCCCCAGACAAAGGAAAAATTAAAAAAAAAAAAAAAAAAAAAAAAAGGCAGCTCCAACGCAGTTAGAGGAGAACAAGGAGATCAGTCAGGAGCTCACTACACCCAGACAGTCCTGAGGGGTGGGCTCTGAGCCAAGCCCTGATAACCCACAGACACTGGATCCCAAAGATCTAATTCCAGATACACACCACTGTCATTCATCTGACCCTTTCGGACACCTGCGGCACAGGCACCTGCCGCAGAGTTCACCACCTACGGCTCCTCTGAGGCTCCTGGTACAAAATGGGCTATTGCAGGCTCCTCTAGCCACAGCTAGAGTAAGATGGAAATCTGAAATAGGTACGGGAAGGTACAGATAGGAATAGGATTTTGGAAGGGTCTGGTCCTCTCTTTGGTGAGAAAAGAGCCTGGAGATGAGGCCTCTTGCAGGCTGGCTCACGGAGATGTGAAGCAGCAGGGGAAGGAACCTCGTGTCCAGGGAGGACAGGTTCTGGCTCAAAGTGGGTGCACAAGCACTGCCCTGCTCTGGTTCATGGTGTGTTGCCCGACGTCCTCTCCTGCTACCCCTCAGGGCACAGCATCCTGCAAAGGCACAGCACCTCACCACAGAGCTCTGCAGCAGTGGAGCTGCACGACACGGGATGTGACTTGGGGACGGGCTTTCATGGTCATGGTTGGGTGGTGGTTGGACTTGATGATCTTAGAGGTCTTTTCCAACCTTAATGATTCTGTGAATCTATGACATTACCAGGATTCAGCCGTTCCTGCTGTCCCTTTTTGTCCAAAATCTTTAGCTCTCATGGGACTCTGGCAAAATGGATCACTGGTGGGATGAGATTCAGATGGTTTCTGTAGCTGTAACGTAATTTCTTTCATCAGTCTTAACTACAGGCAGCACCAGGATCGCCAGCAACATCTATTTAAGAACACCAGTCAGGATGTGCCTTTTCAAAACCACAGACTCAATGTCACCTTTTCAAAGTTAAAAAGGTTGGGTTAGATTCGAGCATTTAAAGTGCATTTACATTTTCCACTTCTTGTCCCCAAGTATTGGAACAGGACGTTTCCTTTTCCTGTTTTAAATGGCAGCATTTTTAATTGGCATCTCCTCTAATCATAGGACTCCAGGAGCTGGGGCTTAAAGAAAAACACCAGGGATCCTGAGAGTAGACAACACAGGGGATTGGTGCAGGGATGCTTTGTCAGAAATCCAAACGAAAAACTAAAAAACAATCAAACAAAAACACGTTTCATTTGAGAAACAAGGGACTAAGTGCAACACCTACAACCCTGGGAGAGCAAAGCCCTTCCTGGAGCCACGGTGCTGCCCACCACTGCCAGGGAAAGCAGCTCTGAGTTAGACCCCGAGCTGCAGCCTCCTCCTTGTGTCCACAGACTTACGTGGCCACAAGGCTTCAGCCAGCTTCCCAGGATGCAAATACCCAGGATAGAGGATCAGAAGTAGGAGACAGGAAGGAAAAACAGTCTCATTGGTTCCTGGAAGCCTTGGCAAACCTTATCCATCCACACCTGAGGAGAGAAGGGGGGTCTGATTTGCCAGTCCATGGACACCCGCTTCAAAGATGCTTCACTGGAGATTGTTCCATGGTTTTCTTTCTTCTTTGGGGGAAAATGTGTATTTCAAAGTCATTCTTTCCGAAGCTGAGGAAAACCCAAACCACACAACCAGCAAGAACACCAGTGCATTCATGACAGTCACAGATTAGCTCCACTAATATTCTCATGCTTTCATTTCAGGTACTACAACCTCCACAGACCCCACCATCCACCTTGTAACAGGTACCTCCTGGGTTGTGATCTCCTTTATAAGTCTCCTTGGATGTGGATGCACATGCCCATGTGGGGATGCAAATGGAGATCCCACAAATAAGAACGAGATTCAAAATTCCCATCCACTGAAGCACCTTCTCCCAGGACACTGCGCTGTCCATCTCTGCCCACCCCATCCATCACCACTTCCCCCTAGATCTCCAGGGGCCATGGAGAGCACTGCGCCCCAGAGGATGACCTTGCCTGGCTCCCTTTTTTGGCAGGAAGAGAGCAATGTAGTGTTCCAGGAAGCCTAGTGAATGCAGAGGGATCCTGTCCCATCCTTGCTCCCTGTTTCTCCAGCTGTTTCCTGGCAGGTGGCATGCTCTCCTCCACAGATCCTCATCACTTAGGTCCCTTTGCCCACAGGTCCCTCCAGCCACACCAGTGACAAACCCTCTCCTTCACATCCCTTGCCCGCATCACCCTTTCAGCTCTCACTGGCTACAGTGGCCCCTGCCCAGCCCATCCTTCAGCCCTCCCACCAACAAGGAGCACATGTGGAAGACGTCACCTCCATGTCTCTCTCCTTGTGTTGCAGGTCAATCCCAACCAACGCCACACAGCCCTGAAGTAAAGAACCACACCTCAGGTAACACGCATCTGGAGACCTAATGGTGCAGCTCAGGGGCATCCTGGCTTGTAACTGGTCTGACCTTCAGTCCAGCTGGGCCACCCAGCAATAAATGGGGCGGTGCAGCAGCAGGTTAGATGAGAACAGTGGTGGGGAAGAAGGAAATTTTGTGGTGTAAGGGCTTCTGCTCCAGCCAGCTCACCCAAGAGGACTCAAGGCACAGAGATGAGCAAGAACAGGGAAAAATCACTAAATGGAACAGGGATCAGCAGTGTCAGCAGGTCACAATCCCAGGAAACCCCCGGGTTTGCATCTCATGTGCACAAAGGGTGCAACTGCCCAGAGCCCAGGAGCCAGGCTGGGCAGTGGCCATGTTGCCACATCCTCCTACCTGGCACCACCCACTCTGTCCATACAGCAGGTCAACACGGAATCACAGAATCACAGAATGGTTCAGGCTGGGAGGGACCTTAAAAAACATCTAGTTCCAACCCCCCTGCCATGGGCAGGGACACCTCCCGCTAGCTCACGTTACTCAAAGCCCCATCCAACCTGGTCTTGAACACCTCTAGTGATGGAGCTTCCACAGTTTCCTGGGCAAGCTGTGTCAGGGTCTCACCACCCTCAGAGTGTAGAACTCCTTCCTAATTTCTAATCTAAATCTCCTCTATTTCAGTTTGAAGCCATTACTCTCATCCTACCACTACAAGCCCTTGTAAAAAGTCCCTCCTCAGCTTTCTTGTAGGCCCTGTTCAGATACTGGAAGGCCCCCAGAAGGTCTCCCCAGCTGGAGCCTTCTCCTCTGCAGGCTGCCCAAGCTCAACTCTCTCCTGCTGGGCTCCCAGCAGAGGGGTTCCCCCCTTGGGTCATTGCTGGGGCTCCTCTGGCCCCGCTCCAGCAGGTCCCTGTCTCTGCTGTGCTGAGGACTCCAGAGCTGCCCCAGCACTGCAGGGGGGTCTCCCCAGAGTGGGGCAGAGGGGCAGGATCCCCTCCCTGCCCTGCTGCCCACGCTGCTGGGGGACAGCCCAGGCTGCTGGGCTGCTGGGCTGCACTCGCACATTGCAGATCCCCAGTTTTCCTAGAGGAAAAGTGGAAGCATGAAGAGGCTTGTCCTAAACTGCACAAGGTTTGTGTCAGCACAAGGACTGAACACGGCCTTAGCCCTTATTCCATTATTCATGCTGGGGTTTTGCTTTGTTACCTACCTTCATGGAAACAGAAATCACTTATAAGGACAGAAAAATATTTAGAATTAGTATGAACCACCGTGGAGTTCCCTTTATTCTCTTTTTTCTGTCATCCCTCTCTGCTGAAACCAGCTTCAGGACACTACCACATGTAGGTGGTCACAGAAGCCCTGGAAGCAGGCGCAGTGAAGCGTTTGCAGAAAGTTGTATTTTTTGGTCTGAGATCTCAAAAAGATCTCAGACTGTGCTTCCATGCCATGCAAAGAAAAGAAACTTATTCCTCAGTTCAAATATTTTGGTGAAGCATTTGGTCAAAACGGGGAAAATAACCACTCCAACCCTAAAACCATTTTCACTCTTTTCTCATTTTTACTGGAAAGCTAAGAGAAGCCTAGACAAGGAACTTGCCCATAAATTCCAAGCTGGTGATCCACTCTTCCTTGCAGAGGGCTTGTTGAAAGGTTTTTTCCCCCCACATCGTGCTCTGGATCATGCCCTTGCTATGGAGCTTTGGGTAGCAGGTTGAGGAAGATGACAGAGCCCCATGGCCTCCTCCAAGCTGTTTCTGAGCAGAGCCTGCAAGTAAGCAGAGCTCTCTGAAGTAACTCTACACTTGTTTTACAGCACCTTCTGTAAAATCAACACCACCAGCCAACTTGAATCTCACCACCATGGTTCAGGCTACTACAGACAGATCTTCCTCCACCTCTGCAACACTGCCAGTGATGACTGTGAGAGGTAAGTACAGAAAACTCAGATTTTTGCTCAGGCAGGACCTGCTTATGCATCCCTCCTTATCCAAGCAAAACTGGGGGCATCAGAGAGACTGGGCTGTTCCACACCATGCTACTGATTCAGCAGGTTTTGAATCACTTTGAGTCTTTGCTACAAGAGCAGCTCATTCCAGCCCCCCAAAAGCACAGGGCTGGATGTTTGAATCTTGTTGTTTGTTTGGAGGGGAAGTCTCACGCAAACATTTTTTTATATCCCATAGAAACCCAACAGCTCTCCATAGCACAATTAGTAGCAGCTTCAAGAGTTAATTTTTCTTTCCCACATTGTCTTTCCCCAGATGAAAAGTCTACTGGAAGCAGAAGCACAGCAGCTTCACCAACTCAAGGTACTTTGTCCTCTTATAGGGTAACAATAAGCTTAGAGAATTTCACAGCAATTAGCTCTACTTGGTTCATGTGGTGCAGGTTATCTAAGCACTGATCTTTGGGTTGAGCCATCTAACCTTGGGTTGAGCCATCTGTAACACCAAAAATCATGTCTGGTATCATTATAAGCAGCGATAAAACACAAGTCCAAATGCATTTAATGTCCTCTGCCTTGGGTGAACTTGGACAGCTTAAAGATTGATCTATGTTCAGGAAAATAGAGCCCTTTTAACACATTTTTTAACAAAAAAAAAAAAAAAAATTGCTTTTGACAGTTTGCTTAACCCAGCCTGTAAGGAAAAATCAGTGAATTCAGTAAGAGTCTTCTCAGAATAAGGGCAGCATCCAAGAGAGTGAGAAGGCTGAAATCTGGCAACTGAGCTGATTCTGCAGTAGAGGTTCAGCCTCAAACATCTGCAATGGTCAAGACAGAAACTGCTCTGCCTCTCCAAGTACCTCTCAGATCTTCTGTAATGCAAGCAAGGTTAAAAATCCATGGTCAGCTCTGCCTGCACAGATGTCCAACCAGCATGCCTGTGCCCAGCTACGCCAAGAGCCCTTTGCATCAGAGCAAGCTGCCATTAATTATAACCCTGCTTTAGAGCTGAAAAGCTCCATACGTCTTTGACTGGAGAAACGTTGCTGACGCTTCCAAAAGCGAGGTGTCCTGTTGTGTGAGACCAAATATTTCCCAGGGATGGGGTATACATGCCAGGCTCAGCAATCCACAGCTTCTGCCCACCGCCTGTGGCTAGAGGAACAATTTCAGGATGAAACAAAGGGTTTGATGACTGGTGAAAAAACGGCACAGCAGTAAGTCCCTGCTTCTCAGGACTGTTCTGCTCCGTGTTGTCACCTGCTTCAGAACCAGTCAGATTGGTTATTTCATACCTTTTCCCCTTTTCATACCATTCACCTTTTTTCTTCTGATTTTTGGCAAAATTACATTCCAAAACAGTGAAGTTTTCTGCAAGACAGGGACTCCAGTTTCAGCTGCACACCCTGTGGCCCACTGCAGAGTGCCAGGACCTGTTCCACACTCCTCCAGGCAGCATGTGCTTTTGGCCAGCAGTGCTATTGGGAAAGTGGGGATGGGAAAGGAGCAGAGAAGATCTTACTTGACCTACAGATGATCTTCTGAAGCTCTAAAGTGTAATTTTTTAGTCCCCTGACAGGGCCTGTAGCTGTTCATTAAGGTCACTGCAGATAATCTGGCTGTTCAAAACACATCCAGGAGGCAGCAAAGGGGTTTTTTTTTCTTCTGTACAAGTGAAACACCTAGTCTAGCTTTAAATTTGCTTGCCCTGGAAGCAGCTGCCACAAACCCAATAGCTTCATATAAGCTAGTTCATCCCTCTGAGAACTGGAGTCCTTGCTGGAACAAACCTCTACACTGCCACAGCTAGACTACATATGGCGTACAAGTTAGCTCATCTCAAACTATTTTAATTACTTCTAGATAACCCAGGGCAGCATACCCACTAATTCCAGCTCCAAGGACAAGCAGAACAGTCAGTCCACACCCATATTCTGCAGAATTTCTTCTCCTAAACAGCTTTTGGGTTTTTTTTTTTTAGAAGCCTCCATGTTTGTGAGCAATAGGAAATCTATAACCTTCTCAGTTCACTCTTCCAGTATTCAGCTGCTGTATCTGCCCCAAAACTGCATCTGGGACCGCAGAACCTGAAGAGTTGATACAACAGTATTTGAAGTTTGATTCCCTGAGTTTTTATTTGGACACAGAAAATAGTACAAAGTGTGTTTAGTGGGAAGGTTTTAGCCCAAGTACGAATTCCAGCAGTATGAATATCACCAGCACTACTGTGAATCCATTCTCCTCTCCAACATGTCCATTAATTCTTTTGGCTGTTAGATGACAGCCAAGGACAAGACTTAAATTCTGTGTTTCTCTGTGCAGGTCAAGAGCCCAAGGGAAGTGAGAGTACCACACCACCAGCAACTCAAGGTGCTTTCTCCTTTCTCATGCCAAGAGATAGTTACTGCTAGGTATTTTATAGACCTTTCCACAGCCAACAGCAAAGCCATAATACCGATGTCTTCAAGGCAGCACAGCGAACAGCCAAAGAGCATCCGAGAGATGCTGTTGAAAAGCTAGCTCCACAGAAGCAGCACTGTGGGGCAACATGGTTGGGCCTGGGAAGAGTGGTTTTGAGTCACAGCAGGAAAGGTGGCAGTATGGCAAAAGGCTGTAAAATGAGAGAGATGGGACAAGCCTCCAGCTCAAACCTCCTGCCAGATCAGTCCTTCACCTGCCACGCTAGGCTTCCTCACTACAGCCTCAGCAGAAGACACTGTGGGTGTTCTTAGGCTGTTGATCAAAGGGGCCACACCAAGGCAATTCAATTCCCACAGAGCTCCAGGTCACTCTGCTATTAACTTTGATGGGGCTGACCAGGATCCAAGGTTATTCTCCTCAATAAAATGCAAGTGCGAGTTAGGTCCTCTAGCATAGCTGGGAATCCTCTTCCCACTCTCGGAAGAAAGACTTTTATATAACACTACCTTTTCCACCTCTTGTAGGCACCTCAGATCCCGTCACTCCAACATCAAAGCCTTCTGGCAACTTGCCTGTGCCCACTCCAACAGATGATAAATCACCACTGACAGTGGCAGCTTTTGGTAAGGAGAGGACGGGGGTCTGTTTTGCCAGGCTGTGCTGTTTTGGACACCCAGTTTCAAGGATGTTTCCCTGCATATGGCTTCATGGTTTTCTTCTTCAGCATGCCTGATCCTGGAGTTTTCAGAATGCAAGGAGAAACGCTTGAGGAAAAGACTTGCCACCATCAATAAAGCACCTAATAAATGCTCCCAGACGTGCCCAGTGTACAAGGGACAGACAGTCTGAAAATCAGTCATAGTTTTGATCCCACACCTGAGCTTGGGATCTTGCTCCTAGCACCAGTGTTTGCCCCAGCTTCATGGTAGGACAAGACCTGGCAGAAATCTTCCCATGCTTTACCTTGATTTCTCTGACAGGTCTAGCATAAATATGCTTCCTCCTGGGAGCTCAGACATTTTTTTTTTCCCTGTTGGGATTGCATTCCCACCCTGCCTTATAGCCTCCCCCTGTACAGCTGGACCCGGCTTGGCAGGAGGCAAGCAAGTCCTCCACAGCCTTCAGACTGTGGAAAGATGGAGCAAGAGATGCCACACCTTAACCTGGCAACAGATTTGAAGATAGGCATAGGGTATATTTAAGACACCCACTCTGTCTTGGGCTATACTGTCCCTCTCCTCCATGAAGACAAGCATAAACCCCAATTTTCTATCACACTATAGGAAAAAGTGTTATTTCATGAGCGGTTTTAAATTAACTTCACAAGTATCCTCCAAGGGAAGCCACAAGAAGTCCTGACACAGTCTAGCAGGACAAGATTCCTATGCAAAGAACAGTTTGATTTCTTGAGGCCTGATGTCAGAATCAAATCTGCACAGGGCCACTGACACCGGTCAGAACAAGTTGCCCAGAGAGGTTGGTAGAATCCCCATCTCTGGAAACAATCCAGGTCAGGTTGGCTGGGGCTCTGAGCAGCCTGCTCTAGTTGAAGACATCAGTCAAAGTCTCTCTGCTGCCTCAGAAGTTACGTTGTCCTATCAGTCACAGCCAGTTCTTTCCTCCATCCCCAGGTGTCATCAGCTTCATAGTTATCCTGATAGTGGTTGTGATCATTCTGGTCAGCGTGGTCAGCCTGAGGTTCAAGTGCAACCGCTCAAAGGACTCTGAAGGTAATTGCCTGGCAAGATGTCCCTTTCCCTAACCAAAAAGCCATCAGTTTCCATGTCAGTTGGGCAATTCCTAAAAGATGCTTTTAGAAGGCTTACACAGTGGGGAGGTTTTGAAGCCAAACTGGAACACAGCCCTTAGGAAGGTCGTGTGACCCCCTCTTCAGAGCCCAAGCGCAGACCCATCTGCTCAGGGAAACAATCTCAACTTTGCTGCAGTGAAACGTGCATATTTGCAGAGGTGGGCAGCAGAAGTCACAGAGTTTAACACTCGTTTTCCCTGGGAATCCCGTTTCCCACTGAGCAATGCCCACCAGAGGGCGAGGCTGGTCCACAGCACGACAGGAGACCAAGGGATGCTAGTGACTAGCCAGGCAGCAGAGCATTCCGTCCTTCCTGGAGGTCACCTGAATTGAGGAATTTTCTCTGCTCAACCCTCGGATGTCCCCCGTGGTGTCTCTAACCTCGCCTGGATTTCATTTAGAACCCTGTACAATGTCATTCTGAATATAGCTGACTGATTTTATTGCTTGGCTGGGATGTTTTCTCCCCTGTACATCACCAACTGCTTTTCTCCTTCCAGACAAACAGAAACCAGGGACCTCGATGGTATCTGAAAGGTAAGGCTGCTGGCACAACTCACATCCTATTGAAAGTGCTTCTTTTATTCCAGGACTAATTCTAGCAAGGAAAAGTGCCTACTTTAGTTATTCCAGGTGAAGGAAACATTTTAAGACATCTTCAAGACAGGTAAATAACAAAAATCAGCTCTGACAGCACCTCATCCTCTGCCTGATGGAGTCAGAGGTAGAAATTCAATATTTAGGGGCTTTGTTTCAAAGCTGCACTGATATCAGTGAAGACTCATCCCCATCCAAAAGCAGTTTGCTTGTCTGTCTTTGCCTAGATAGAGACTTGAAGTCTAAACTTGGGGTTTTGGATCTCAAAGCCATCTCAGTGAGATGAGATAAGACCAGATCCCTAAAAACATCTTCCAAGACACGTATTACTGTCATGTAGCAAAAACAGGATAAGGGGGGGCCAGTCCAGAGCCCTTTGGAAGAGAAGCACCAAGCAGAGAACGGTCTGAACCCCACGGTCCATCACTGTGACCCAAGAATAGAGGCTGCACGTGGCAAAGGAGCAGGAAACGAGAGTTGGAAGGGACCAAGTTGCTCCTACTTTTCCATCTGATGGTTTCCTGCCAAAGTTACAAGCCCCGCTTTGGAATGAGGCAAGAGACACAGGGAGCAGAGTCTTGAAATATTTAGGTGGCAAATTTGCATCAACATCAGTGGCCCGCAAATACCCTTAATGAGCATGATGGAAGTGATCTGAATGTAATGGTTTGAAACCTGCTGCCCCTGGTGGGTGGAGATCTGAAACCCTAAACCAGGTACAAGCCTGAATGAAAGGGGCGTACACCTGTCCTATTCCCACTCCCCTTTTCCTGTCTTCGGGACTTCCTGCCAAGGTCTATAAAAAGGGGAGAAAGGCACGCCTCTTCCTCTTCTTCCTCTTGCTCTCTTGCTCTGGCTCTTGCTCCTTTGACCTTGTTCCTGGGCGCACGCTGCTCTGCTGCTCCCTGTGCTACACGTGGCCGTGGCCATCTTGGAGACCTGGGCCTGATCTACAGACTCTTCCCTGCCTCCATCCACGTCCAAGGATTGTGCATCCAGCTTCAATCCACCTCAATCCAGTGAGATCCAGCACCGGGGCGCCTTAGCACAACCTCTGGGTTTTGTATATTTGGAAGTTTAATCTTCCTTGCCTTGTTGTTCCTACAACCCCCCTTTCCTGTTAAACCCCTTCCCTTCTCCCTTTCTGTTTCCTGTTAAATAATATATTCATTTTGTTAATTTTCAATTTGGTGCAAGGTTTTCATTACCCCTGCCTTCCTTATTTACCTCTCTGTCTGGGAAACTGAGGGATAAGGGAGGTGGGACACAATTCTGCCTTCTAACCGGGACAGAACACTGAAGCAGGACATATCAGAGCAGAGGACTGTGCCCCTGAGCCACCCTGATCCCCAAAGCCCCCCAGTCTCCACTGGCACCAGATCCAAACTGCTCCTCGGTCCTGCCTACAAGAGGTGACACAGGTGACAACGGTGCTTTCCGCTGTGCAAACCACACTCAAGTTCATCTGAACGTGCTGCTCAGTTCCCCAAACCCCTCTTCAGAGAGGGGATGGGGAACCTGGCACCAAGGATGGGCCTGAAGCAGGACAGCAGCTCACAGGGCAGAAGAAGTCAGCTCTGGTCCTGTGTACCAGCCTGGCCCATCTGCCTCCCGTTGTGGGCACAGAAACTCGCCTCTCCTGTTTTCCAGAGGAGTTAATGACCACCTTCTCTTCTCAACAGCTGCTCGGCGGGCCCAGGCCAGAAGGATAATAGCATCACTCTGATCTCCATGAAGAACATCAACACGAACAACAGCAGGAGCTACCCACCATCAGAAAAGGTTTCCCTTTTATGCCTTCCTTTTTAGAGAGCTAGCTGGGGACAATTTCTCTGGCTGGGTAAGAGTGTGGCTTTGAGGTATTTATTTGTTCTCCTACCTTCAGAAAGTTTATAAAAAAACAGCTGTTATCAAACTCCTAAAGATCCAAGCTGGTTCCAGCAAGCCTGGTGAAAAGTTTGGGTGCCCATCTCAGGTTTATCCAGGCTGCCTGAGCTCAAGGTGTCAGGTACACCTCATGTGTGTAGGTGCCATCCCCTAGAGCCAGACATCAGAGCTAGAATGTTTTGCCATTCAATGAAGAGGTCAATGAGCTAACCTCTGAGAAGTCAAGGTCTGACCCTCTAGTCCAAGCTTACCCTCCTGTGCTCCACAGGTGATGTTGAAGCACACTCCTACCCACACTCTCAGATCCACCCCACACAAGTAATTCACACCATTTTCCATTGCTTTAAAGCTGGGATTGAGTTGTTTAATTTCTTTTGCCAGCCCAATCAGGCTGCTGACACACCACATTTTGGTTTTTTTTTTTTGCAGGTGCTATGAAGCCAAAGGCCCAGAGCTTGAAGCTGGCATGTGACAACTGGCAGTGACTTTCTAGGTTCTTATTTTTTTCCTTTGGGGAAAGAGCAAGGGTAGACATTATATAAAATCATGTCCTTTCATATCAATACGTTTAGAGTGGCATCCCACATAGCTCCCCCACCTGAGGTCCAAAGGCGTTCTCCAGTCAGCCAGCCATGCTCCACGGTTGACATCTAACTCTAGTTTTGACATGCCTTCAAACACTCAGATTGTTCCAGCAGCAAGAAGCACCAAGGCATCATCTACTTCACTCATACGCTGCTGCCTTGGGCTAATGGCCTTTACAGTCTGTGCCAGCCAGCCCACAGCCAGCCAAACCCGTGCACCGGCCAAGCATGACCTGGAGCTGAAGGCCTGGTGGGACATACTTGGCCAAGTTCTAGATCCAATCCCAACAGGACTGCTCCAAGCCCTTATCCTCGGTGACCTCCCTGTCCCCACAATGGTGAGGATGGTCGTGTCCACCTTCCCCACGGGGCTGTTGTGAGGGTGTGTTAACTGATGTCGGCAAAGCATCTGGAGAGCCATGAATTAAAGATGCTGCTGAAATGCAAATTGTGATCTTGATTTAGTCATTATCAAGAACAGAGCTTCAGGCAGGAAGGTCAGTGTCCACCATGCTCAAAGAAGACTCTGGCCACCACCACAGCTCTAGGGGCAACCCGTGGTGCTCCTGCCCACCGCGACAGCTCTGAGAGCAACCTGTGGCATTGCTGGCCACCACCACGGCTCTCGGGGCAACCAACCCACGCCGCTCCCCCGCCCCCTCTGGCCCCGCCCCTCGCGGCGCGGTGCACGCTGGGAGCTGTAGTCCGCGCGCCGGCGGGAGACTCCGTTACCCAACG